ACTAAATTATTTAAAATTAAAAATCTAATAACTAAAATTAAGATGTAACCCATCTAAAAAATATCATCAATGTCAACATTAAAAGAAAAGAAGATCATAAATACCTCCTGAAAAGGAGAATTTCCAACCTCCCAAAGTCATGGTCACCACAAAGAAAAACGTTAAACCTACAATGTGGACGCATTAATACACCACACAAATAATTGATCATTTGAAATTTGGAATGTAAAAATGGGGCCGAAGAACATTAAAGGTACCAACATTTATTTAAAGTATTGATTATGGAATTATGAGATAAATCTTTATTCCCAGTCATCGGGAAAAAAAAAGTTGACAATTAAAAAGAGTGTCCTGTTTAGTCCCTTTCGCGTATTGATTATCACACTTGCGAGGGAATAGCCTTTTTTCGTTAGGTGTTTTGCTGCACATTTATATTGATTTGGTATATTTAAAGATATATACTTTTTAAGTATTAATTGCTAAATTTAAATCTTGAAGTTAGTTTATTTTTTTATATAAATATTAAGAATTAAATTTGTTGGACCAAATGAAATGAGATCGGTTATTTTTAAATAAAATATCAAATTCAAGTCTTATAAATAAAAAAACAGATGTTGAAAGAATTTTTTTTAAAATGAGGTTCAACACGGTTCGAATCCAAATTAATCGAATCCAACATGGAGAATACTACCAAAAAAATTAGGAATTAAATTTTAAATTTGTAATATAGATAACTTGACCACTAAACACATAACCAATGGTTTTAAATTTGATTTATAAAATAATATTTATTTTTTAAAAAATAAATGGTTTTTTAAGAGAAAATCAATATGTTTAAATATAAATTTTACATATTATATTTATCAAAAATTTCAATTATAATTGAGATTTATTTATATTTATTAAAAATAAATATTTTTTTTAAAAAGTTATAATCAATTTCAATTATTAAAATTAAAAGAATGAATAATTTAAATCTTATGTAAATATAATACGTAAAATTTATGTATAAATAATTTTTTTTATATAATCAATACATTCTTAACTTATATTTTTTTTAAAAAAATAGTGATGAAGTACTATAAAGATAGAATACTCATAAATTTAAAATTAATTAATTTAAAATTGTGTGGAATTTCATATATATTATATAACTTACATATACAAAAATAATATGACCTTAATTTATATATTTTTAAACAATAGTTTTTTTTGTACTAATATCTCAGTATCTAATAATTACATTAGATTCCAATTAATTCAAAATTAAATAAAATTGAATAACGTTGATCTTATTTGGGGAGAAACTCTCTTAATGTTTATTTTATTATTTACAGTAATCAAATTCAAAATATTATTTAAGAAAACCAACTCTTTTTATTCGTATTAATATTTTCAACAATAATAATAAGATAATACAAAAACAACACTTGTCATAACTTTTTTTTTTTTGGATAAAGGTAATGGTTAGGTAATTAGTATGAATTAGTTATTAGCAATTGGTTTTCAAACTGGATGAACATTTTACTCCCTCAAATGAGGCGCGTAGCCATTATATCATTTTTTGGTAAAGTTTACAACAGTAATAAAGTTTAAAATTTTAATTATCTCATCAAAACACTTAAAATTTAAGGTGAAATTATTGAGTCTAAAGCCGCGTGCTTCGTAACTCTTAAATCAACTATCAACTAGTAGTTAGGAGATGGCCTTTTAACTTGTACTTGAAGACATAAAAAATTCTAAAATAAATCCAAGTCTTTTCGGGGAGGGAATAGCTTATGGCTCAACGACCAGCATTTAATCTAGAGACAAATCATAAATGTCCACGGACCGCGTTAGCGTCGGTTTGGGGTTTCGCTCGCATGCGAGGCTAATAAATGAGACAACCGAACATCAGTAGGAGACAACCGAACATCAGTAGTGGTCCACCGATCCCATGGCGCCAGCTGAAATCCATTTAGAAGGAAGGCTGACTCGGGTCATGTAGTACAGGATCACATGCTCTTGTTCCCATTTGTCCTTCTCTACTACAGCGTGGTTTACTACTGGTTGGTTAGGTACTGTGATGGCTTAAATGGGTTCGTGAGTCGTGAGCCCCGGATTTAACCACGTTGTGTTTGGCTCATGTCATGCCCCTTTGGTGGTGTGGTCCCCGGCGTTGTGTTCTAACCGATGCGTTGACTCTTTGACGCTACGTCAACTCTCGACTGAGGTTTTTGTTTGTTTTATTTAATTATTATTATTTTTTTTTTGTATTTTTGTAAGTCCAACCCAAACGAAAATCAAACTTGCATCAAAAACCCATTTTTAAATATCTACTTCCTTGGGCCGGAAACTGAACCATATGCCCAAGGTCCCCAACACAGAAAAACATATTCCACTTCTTTTCTTCATTTTTAATAAATTGGTTTAATACCCAATTTGGTCCTTAGATTTTCATTTAAGAACTTAGTTCGTCCTTTAACTACAAAAACCACCCAAATCATCCTTAAACTTTATTTTCCCATAAACAAAATGGTAATTTCGTTATGAAACTGCATAGCTGGCAGGTTAAGTCTAGCTTAGGTGTAAAAAACATTGCACTTAATTGATGATGTGACATCAATTTCATCCTCTCTAGCCTTCTAAATAAAATAAAATAGTGGGGCACACAAGTCATCGCTTTCTCTTTATCGATGCAAACTCCCTTCTAGATTCTACTTCACTTTACTCTCTCTTTCCTTTTCCCCTTTAATCCCTAAATCCTTCTTCGAAACCCTAAATCCTCTAGTAAGAGCCAGCTCTGCTTTCACCCCTGAATCCTTCTACTTTGAAACCCCTAAGTCCTCTAGTAACAACCGGCTCCCCTTTAACCCCTAAATCCTTCTTCTTCGAAATCCCGAAATCCTTAAGTCCTCTGGTAAAAGCCGACTCCCCTTTAACCCCTAAATCCTTCTTCTTCAAAACCCCTAAATCCTATGGTAAGAGCCACCAACCATGCCAGCATTTGCTTCCATGTTTTCGACTGCTCAGTTTCCATAAACCAAATGATTTCAGAAACGAGAAAGCAATCGACGATGCTTGCAGTTCAAACTTGATTCCTTTTTCTTTGACCCATCCTCTACAACTCTTGATTCTTTCTTCTCAGAACCCTTGATTCCTTCTTCGACCCCTATCCTCTGCAACTCTTGATTCCCTCTTTTTCTTTGAACCCTAAATGTTTTGCACCTTGTGATTCCTCATTCTTCCCTTGAACCCTAAATCCTCTGCTATTTGTCTTTTAGATTTTGGGTTTGTGAGAATCATAAATTGGAAGCTCCGAGTTTTGATTCTAGTTCGTTTAAGAGTGGAAGCATGGCAGAGTCTATAGAGTTCAGAAGTGAAGAGTATAGATGCAATTGTGGATTAAATGTTGTTATTCGAACTTCGTTTACTTTCCAAAACATAGGTAAGAGGTTTAGATGTTGTCCTAAGAAAAAGGTAATCATACAATTTCTCTATATTTTTTGTCAATGGTTTAGTTTTTGCTCAATTGGTTCTTTTCTCCACTTTTGGAGGACAGGTTTATGTATACAATCTAATTTGATTATAAAAAGTTGATAAATCCAATTGAAAATTGCAGAGCTTTTAGGTTTTGTTCCTACAAAGTTGAGAAGTTTTCCCTTCTTTTTTCGATGTCTGCAATTCGTCGCTGGTTTATTCAAAAGATGGGAGAAGCGGGAACGTGAGGTGGAATGAAATTTGCGCTACATCATTAATTGAGTGAGGTGTTTTTTACACGTAAGCTTATAAAAATTAATGGAGGTAATTGGTGGAGACTTAACTTGCCAGCTATGCAGTTTCGTGACGAAAGGACCATTTGGATTACAAGAAAATAAAATTTAAAGACGATTTAGGTGTTTTCTGCAATTAAAGGACGAACTAAGTTTTGAAATGAAAGTTTAGGAACCAAATTGGGTATTAAACCTTAATAATTTGAACTAGTATTATTAAACTGGCCTATGGTTGTTGAAATATATTTATTTATTTTT